TGTTGGTGTGTGTGTGTGTGTGTGTTGGGTTGGGGGGGGGGGGGTTCTTCATGCATCTAAATAAAAACTGACCCCCCACCACTGAAACAGAGTCTAATAGCCATGTCTTATCAGTAAGGGTCTAAAATAAGACCCACATAAAAATTTAATTGCAACATCCAACATTTTTTCACTCTCATTTTTATATTGATACACAAAGCAAATTATGCTTTATACATGCTGCACATAATCATGAGATAAAATTAAACAAGAAAAATAATTTTGCTCACCTTTGATGCCTTTGGCAAACCTAAGCAGGAATGAATAGGGGTGGTCCACCTGCAGGTCAAACTTGATGGTTTGTAGCAGAATTCTCTCCATAGTGATCACTTCCTCCTACAAATATATGTTAATTTACTGCATAAAAATAATAATGGATTAATAAGTACTATGAGTTTCTTTGGTATGAATATAGCTTCGCTGATGCTTCATCTTAATCACAGATAAATAATAACAGACAAAGTGGTGACAATAAGTATCAAACCAACAATGGTCATTTATAAAGCACAAATGTGACCCGTATGCCTGTTCTATGGGAAGAAATAAATGTCCTCCATGCTTTCACCTTCAAAACAAAACATTGTTCAGAGAACAGATAGCAGACTAGTATATATGTGATGTACCTTGGGGTCCTCTCCAAACACCATGAAATGTTGGTCAGGCAACATGGATCTTGCTGTCTTAATGATGTCCTTGCACTTCTTAGGTGTCTCCTCTACCTTTCCTGCCAGGAATAGACAGCAGGCACCCATCACCTGGATACAGGGGGATACAGGAGGGTTAACATATGACAGCTGATATATACACAGTAAATAGAATTCCACTTCTTACATATTATAAAAGAGTTTACACAGAGTTTAGACTTTACAGCCATTTGAATTCCATATATACTAATATTACTGATATTCCATATATGCATCTTCATAATGTTTACTTGATACATTTTCATATATTTCATCGAATCACGTGAAAAATCAAGTTCAACTATCATGCTTGGCATGACATTCATACTACACTGCTTCATTTATCATATTTTACAACTGACATCTTTGCTCTGAGTTGTATTATTTGTGCTTTAATTAAGACTTTACTGAAGTGCACTCACATATCTGTGGAATTCTCTAAAGGAATGGTACATGTAAAACCTGTGGAAGTATACAACTCCTGTGGCACATGTGTCATAACGACTGGTGATGCAGTTAAGGAAATTAGGAATTATTTTGATAACATACATTATGTTAGTATTCAACTTATATATCAGTCATTACCTTGTTCTTAAAGTATAAAATATTTCATGACTTCACATATCTTCAAAATAAGCCTTCCCCACTCCCCACCTCCAGTGTTATCATAATCTAAAGATTTATACGATTATCCTAAAGCCAAACTGGGTTATTAATTTTGGTATAATTCATTGCATGCTATACAAGCAGTACAGTAACAAATCTTCCCACAAATAACCTGTTACATCCACTTTCACATTTCTCATATTTATTTCATTATTTTAGTTTGAGAAAATAGTAAGACTCCAAATCCAGACCTAAGCCTAGCTCTACATGAGTCATGTGGTATAAGGATACAGTCCTAGTTTGTTGCCAGCATCAATAATAAACCTGGCCCCCTCCTTGCGGTATCGGGCCTCTGTTTCCTGGTCAATGCCGTCTGCCTGGGACGGAGTTTTCTGAAACTCATCTTTATCATAGTACCAACAAGGCATGCTGGGAATACTGAAAGAATCATGTGGTAAATTTAGAGAGGTGAAAATATTACCTCACTGGCATGGCAAGACAGTGTCATTGTTGTATTTTACATCCTATTATTGTTTAGAATACTACAAGTCTACATTTACAAATGACAAAAACAAATTGCTCAAAGTTTAAGGTCTACGGATTTTTTTGCATTATTTTTCATAAAAGCAAACTACGTAGGAAAAGCACTGTAGGGCAGAACTAAGATATGTGAATCTGTTCACATCTGTATAATTTTTTCATGAAAAATAACACATTACAGATTCAGATTACATTATTTTAGTCAGGGGTAATCCTAGAGAGGGGTAAGAAACGTCCATTGTTCTCGTCAGTGAGGCTAACCAAATTCAGGGTATGTACGCACAGACAGAAAACCATGTATTGTGGGAACGTTACTAATGAAGCCACTGGTAGTACTAGTAGATATCAGTCTGTAGTCTTGAACAAGCACCTCCTTGACGAGTGAACAGTTGTCAAAAACAAAAGACCCAGGTGTGGTAGATCGACTACTGTTCGCGCGTGCCGCAAAGACCAAGCCTAATAGCCCCTCAAGGTCACAAACTAATATCCGGTGCTGACGGTTAGGCTCGTCATAATCATATAAGTAGCGCGTTTCCACCCCCTGTTTTAGTGTCTGCAATTTGCGTCTGACTGGAAGTAGCATGTGAAGGTGTCTTTTCTAAGGATATCTCATGAAATGTACAACTATTAGGATTTATATATACCCACTTACTCAAGCGTTGTAGATAAATACGTTTATGCTTCTCTTACAACTTTTAAACAGTCATTTATCCCGGCAGCCGGCATTTACAGCATTTCTCCACATTTCTCGGTAACAGCTTCGGAGCACATGTATTGATGACGTAAGATGGAAGCAAGAGAGGCCACTTCGATAATTTTGATCGAATTCTTTAAGATAATGCCATGTGTCTAAAAACTTAAGAGCTTTGTTGATTTTTATTGAAATTTATATGTTTTGATTTTAAGATTTGAAGTTAAAGATACATTTTGTCAATATCCGACACTGAGCAGCGCATAAAACTATGACGTCACATCATCTACACAACCGGTTGTATTTAGGCGAAGGCATGTGCACTGGTTTCTCTTGATATTACAGCAATGGGAAGAAAAAGCAAACGCTCGAAGGCTGCATCAAATGAAAATGGGGACAGTGGTGGTCTCAGCAAATCTCAAAGGAAAGAATTGATGGATTTGACCAAGCAGTTACTCGAAAGTAAGACTTTTTAAAATGCACAACTCGTTGTTTACAAACAGCAGCATCAGATGAAAGTTCGCCTTATAAGGACATAAGAATGAAGCACATGAGTATTGAAAAACCATATCTTATGGAACGCGCAATTTCATTTGATTTCATTTTGATATAATTTTAGTTGAAAATATACTTGAAAAATTACTATATAATATTTACAATTTGTGAATAATATCGAAAGACTAACAGTTTAATTTGCAGCGCAAGTACATGTATGCCATACACTGATACAGTAAGTGAAAGAGAAAGGTGCTTGCAAATAATAATCAAAACCAACCAGCTGAAAGAAAACTGAAGAAGTGAGAAAAAGAAGTAGAACCCCACAGTGAACCTCATTTGCCTATTATAGTTGTTTCTTTGTTTTTAGAATGTGTGAAGCCAAGTGAACAGAATGAATGGGGAAACTTTCTGGAAATTCACGATTTGGTAGAAAAAGTCAGAAAGCTACAAGAGGGTGTGTAGTGATTATCATTTTATAATGGTTTTAAAACAATATCACATATTTAAATATTTGTGGCTTACAAATCAAGTGATGGATATATTTTAAGTCTCTGAGTCTCTGGGAAGTCGCACCTTATGGTGGAGCACTGATTTTGAAATATGTCATAAAGATTTGCAAATAATGGACTTCAAGTGAACAATCCCAGATAACTTAAGATCTTAATCACCTTTTATTACAATATAATGCATAGATTATATACTGCATCATTTCTGTAGCACAGTTAGAGCACTTTGTGCATTTCCAGGTCATAACTTCCTCCCAGAAGACAGAGAGACACATTTCCCGGTATTTTTGACTTGGTTGAAGGACAATGGGGTAGATACCACAGCAGTCAGCATCAGAAAGTTTGAACATACTGGTTATGGATTAGAAGCTAAAAAAGAAGTGCAGGTAAAAAATTTTATATTTTCATTTTGATTTTTAGAACGGAATTTAAAGTGATGACTGATGTTGTTTACTACTGATGTCATGCCATAGATCCAATATGTACCTTTGTTAAATAAAATTCAAAATGTTTTACACCAAAAATTGATTGTTTGTTGTAGATATTAGATGTTGCACATCACATCTGTACGATTGTCTTTTTATAGTGATAATTTTTTTGATCACCTATTAACATCTTGATTTACAGGAAAGTCAGCTCCTCCTGACCATCCCCAGGAAATTGATGCTAACAACAGAATCTGCTAAACTAACATGTCTCGGTGAGAAAATAGCAAACAAATAAAAAAAAAAATACAACAACAACAGATAATAATTTCTGCACAGGTTGTACAGGTTACATTATTGTATATATAATTAATGGTATATTGTAAAGTTAAGAACAACAGCAAACAGTTCTTTGGTATTTAAATAATGACTGTGTGATTGATAAAAATAAGCAATATAAAATTTGTATTTCCATTATACAAAAATTTTTGTCTAGCAAAAATTCTACTTTTATTTGTCACCTTGAAAGTTTTTAAAGAGTCTTCCATTAGATCTTGGTTCAATACTTTTCATTATGATATAAGTGGATTTTTGAGTGCACAAATCGTAAGTCTGTCTCTCACTTTGTCATTTTTCCAGGTTCTCTTGTAGAAAGTGATCCTCTACTGCAGAGTATGCCAACAGTGGTTCTTGCCTTACACCTCCTTATTGAGAGATGTGATGTGAATTCCTTATGGAGACCTTACATAGGTATTCTGTAATATTTTAAAAACACATCACGGTCATTGTTAGATTTGTGGTTTTTCAGAATTGAAAGTTCATTACTTGACATTATTGCTAAATTTCAGAAAAATGTCTGACATCATAATATGGGAAAGGTTTGTAAATGACAAAGTTTTGGAAATTCAGCCAGTTTTTGTTAATACAGCAGCCTAAAAAAAAGCAGTTGTGTTGCTAACGAGATTTAGAGAAAACTCCTTAAAATCATTACGCCATGAAAAGGGTTTCATTAAAAACTGTTGCATTAAATTATCCTAATTTGGAAAATTATGGAATTTGTAGTCATGAAGAGATATTCACAAAGTTCATCATTTTTAACTTTTATTAGATACTCTACCAGAAAGTTTTTCAACTCCGCTGTATTTCACCCCAGATGAAATCCAGTTACTGAAAGGATCTCCTGTCATGAGTAAGTGTGATTTAATGTGCTTTATATTATTCTGATATGTTAGATATGTTAAATATGTCAAGATTCAAAATGTTTGGTTTCTGCTATTTATTTCATTACATATTATGGAAAGAAAAAGGTGTTCAAGTTTTAGAAAATTTGAAAGAATCAACTTGATGATAAAAAATAATGCCCAAATGTTAGTAAAAGTAAATGCACAAATATATATGTATACCATGTTAATGAAAATAATTTCAGGTGAAGTCCTGAAGCAATATAAACACATAGCAAGACAATATGCATATCTTCACAAGTTATTTCAGGTAAGGAAATAAAAGTGTTCTGCCATATTTAATTGTCTTTTTTATAGACTTAAGCTAGCTTGTGGATTTCATATATTTTGTTTAAGTTATTAAGAATTTGTCAAATGATACTTTTGAGCCAAATCCGTGACATTCTACAGTTTATTCATTATTAAGCCAAAGTTCTATTTTGCAAAATTCATTTACACGATCACATGATGTCAGCGAATTGCCTTGTTCTGAAATTTAAAAATAGAAAAAGAAAGAAAAACTCTTGATGATGTAAATGTTGGATGTGTTGACATTGAGCTTGATATGTTGAAATGTTTCTGTTTTAGGGTTTACCTGATGGCAAGTGTCCTCTCAAACACCAGTTCACCTATGATGACTACAGGTATTCACTCTATGGACTGTGGTTGATGTAGTGCACAAAACTTGCCTGAACCACTTAGGATTGTGTTCAAGTTTTTTTTATTTTAACCACACATAACATATTGGAGTGACCTGATATTGAGTTCAGTTTTTTAGCCTTATAGGTTTGTTTTTTTTTACCTAATAATTATGTAAATTCAGGAAGCATAATACAAATAAGTGACTCTTTAATACTTAACCTCATGCATAATAATTATCCTGAATCATTTATTAATTATACAATATACCAAAATCTTGGGTATGCATGTCTCATACTGAGTGACGATGATAATTTCCAGATCCACTGTTTTGGTGAGTGTATATTACCACTATGGGGAATTCTTGGTCAGTTAACTCTAGTCAGGTAGTTTAGCCACTGTAATATGAGAAAAATCAATGCATGAACACCCTTAGGCTAGTAACATGTTTGATACAGCACATGTTTGTTGCTGGAATCTGTGTCTTTATACAAAACATATCAACCAGTGGGTCAGAAAAAAGATTTTTAGAAGTATTTATAATGAATTCTGGGTTCCAGGTTTGAAAAACATTCTCATCTCTTTATTTTCGGAGGCTCATATTCATCAGATTGAGCTCTGGTTTGAAGTTGACTGGTTTGAAGTTGTCAGCTGTTTTTAATGTGCAAATGAGGGTACCGTAGATCATTATGGTTTTCAACAACATTGGATTGACACCAAACTGAAAATAAAAATAAACTTTTAAATCAGGTTGAAGTGCTCAGAACTTGGTAAAAATGAGGAAATACTGACATTATTATAATTGACATAGGTCCTTATTTATTATTTAAATGTAGATTCCAGTTTGTTAACTTAGTCTGGTGGCAGGACTGCAGTGTAGACTCTTTAACATTTTGGCATGCATAATTAATTAATTAATTAATTAATTAAATAAGTAACAGGAAATATATAGAATGATAGAAGAAATGAATTCCCTGAAACTAGATATTGTACATTGACCTGGGAATGGACCTAGCATAACCATGACGAGCATTACTTTTATGTTTCTTTATTGAAAAGTATGGCATTAAAATTTTAAATTTGCAATAGTGGCATAGCAGTTTCAGGCAACTAGTCTTTGAGCAAATTTAATAAAGACTAATTGTGCTTAATTAGAATAAGAAAAAACTAAAGCACAGTAGGCATATTGGCTTGTGGATTTCACTTATGTGGTAATTTTATAAAGGGAAAATAAGTATAAATGGAAAACGAGTATTGTTTAGGCAATGTGATATACAGAGTGCTCACACCCCCTTTTAAAATGCACATTGTTTTCTATGTGTATTATCTTAACAATGAAATAATGACATGGGTCCCTGTAGCTAGAATTGGTGCTGGGAGTAAGGAGACAACCTATGGTATATTTTATATTAAAATATTGACAAATGTCACTGGTTACCTTACAGTATCTGTAAACATGTTGACACAGGTAAATGTGATAATTATTAAAAGGACGGGAAAGTTACTGTGGCGTCAGTCATGTTCAACAGGATGAAATTTTATATATTGTGATGTGTATTTAAATATGTATATGATAGTAATTCTACCACCTCAAAATGAATGATGCAGCAGTAAGACCCAAAATTGCTACATATTTTGGTGACCAACAATGAAAATACATAATAGAAGCAAACATATGGTTATCTGTTGTATTTGCAAACATTAATTAGCCTGTTATTAATGTTTCAGATGGGCAGTGTCAGCAATAATGACTAGACAGAACCAGATTCCTACACCAGATGGGCAGCAGATGATCAACGCTTTAATTCCCTTCTGGGACATGTGCAATCATACTAATGGGCAGGTGAATGAATGATCTCACATTTTCTTTTAAATCTTTAAAAAATTTTTTTTACTGCACTCTGTCTGATTTTAAATGAAGTAACTATTTTATATTTTGCTGTGTTTATTTTGATTTATGAAATGAAAGAGAGAAAAATTCCTCTCTGCTGCCTCCACTACTGAAACAGTAACATGGAAATGGTACTGCCATACTCATAAGAAAGGTGATTCTTCATTAGACTTAAAGAAAGATAGGTAATCTGCAAGTTTTTTTTATTTTATTTTGTAGTTCACAACAGATTACAATTTAGAGAAGGACTGCAGTGAATGTTTTGCCCTCAGAAATTTCAAGGAAGGAGAGCAGGTAAGGTGTGATAATTACAGGGGGGAAAGATCACAGACAAATTAAGTGCCATTTGGGAGTGGGGGTTAACCCAGAATTGCCAGAGCAGTAAAAAAGCAATGGTTTTTCTGTCCTGCAGACATTTTTTGTAATTTCTCATCACAACTTAAAACTAATGGTGTAAATTAACATGGTTTTGTCATTTTTTGCAACTGCAGATCTACATCTTCTATGGCTCCCGGAGTAATGCACAACTTCTCCTATACAGTGGTTTTGTTTTCCCAGACAACCAGAATGACACATTGGACATAAAATTAGGTATGTGATGTCACAGAGAAATTAGCCTGCATTATTGATTTTCTCCTTTTTATGTACAGACACAGATGTGTCTGTACATATAGCCGTCATCTGCGTCTGTCGTCGCCGCCGTCGCCGTCGCCATCGCCGTCGCCGTGCACTTTTACCGATAACACGATAAGTGGAAAACCATTTTACCTTTTGGCTTGAAACTTACAGAACTGATGAATATTCATAATGT